TAATGGTAGGTTTATTTGAACAGTGAGAGACAGAATAACAACAACAAAATCCAAAAAACGCATGTCAAAAATGTTATAAATTGATTTGCATTTTAATGAGGGAAATAAGTATTTGACCCCCTCCCAAGCATAAAGATTTCTGGCTCCCAGGTGTCTTTTATACAGTTAACGAGCTGAGATTAGGAGCACACTCTTAAAGGTAGGGCTCCTAATCTCAGCTTGTTACCTGTATAAAAGGCACCTGTCCACAGAAGCAATCAATCAATCATATTCCAAACTCTCCACCATGGCCAACACCAAAGAGCTCTCCAAGAATGTCAGGGACAAGAGTGTAGACCTACACAAGTCTGGAATGGGCTACAAGACCATTGCCAAGCAGCTTGGTGAGAAGGTGACAACAGTTAGTGCGATTATTCGCAAATTGAAGAAACACAAAAGAACTGTCAATCTCCCTCGGCCTGGGGCTCCATGCAAGATCTCACCTCGTGGAGTTGCAATGATCATGAGAACGGTGAGGAATCAGCTCAGAACTACACGGGAGGATCTTGTCAATGATCTCAAGGCAGCTGGGACCATAGTCACCAAGAAAACAATTGGCAACACACTACGCCGTGAAGGACTGAAATCCTGCAGTGCCCGCAAGGTCCCCCTGCTCAAGAAAGCACATATACATGCCCATCTGAAGTTTGCCAATGAACATCTGAATGATTCAGAGGACAACTGGGTGAAAGTGTTGTGGTCAGATGAGACCAAAATGGAGCTCTTTGGCATCAACTCAACTCGCCGTGTTTGGAGGAGGAGGAATGCTGCCTATGACCCCAAGAACACCATCCCCACTGTCAAACATGGAGGTGGAAACATTATGCTTTGGGGGTGTTTTTCTGCTAAGGGGACAGGACAACTTCACCGCATCAAAGGGACGATGGACGGGGCCATGTACCGTCAAATCTTGGGTGAGAACCTCCTTCCCTCAGCCACGGCATTGAAAATGGGTCGTGGATGGGTATTCCAGCATGACAATGACCCAAAACACACGGCCAAGGCAACAAAGGAGTGGCTCAAGAAGAACCACATTAAGGTCCTGGAGTGGCCTAGCCAGCCTCTAGACCTTAATCCCATAGAAAATCTGTGAAGGGAGCTGAAGGTTCGAGTTGCCAAACGTCAGCCTCGAAACCTTAATGACTTGGAGAAGATCTGCAAAGAGGAGTGGGACAAAATCCCTCCTGAGATGTGTGCAAACCTGGTGGCCAACTACAAGAAACGTCTGACCTCTGTGATTGCCAACAAGGGTTTTGCCACCAAATACTAAGTCATGTTTTGCAGAGGGGTCAAATACTATTTCCTTCATTAAAATGCAAATACATTTATAACATTTTTGACATGCGTTTTTCTGGATTTTTTGTTGTTATTCTGTCTCTCACTGTTCAAATAAACCTACCATTAAAATTATAGACTGGTCATTTCTTTGTCAGTGGGCAAACGTACAAAATCAGCAGGGGATCAAATCTTTTTTTCCCTCACTGTAAGTACGTGTCTATGCCAAAAAATATTATTGAGCGTCGAGGTGATATTAACCTTTTTAAAATATATACATATATAGTAGCGCGTGGAAGATATGGATAATACTGGAGCTCTGAGAGAGCACCGTATGATTCTTCATATTCTGTTCAAATACGGGTTCACCACTCAGGCTGATGCAGGACATCACACGAGCCTTTGATGGCCTTTGACACAGCCAGCACAGATGGAAATCTGCACGTTTCCTTACGTAACAAAGCGTGAGGGCCACCCGCCCTCCCCATAGCGTTTTGTGTCTAAGTTTCCGGCACCACGTATTTGTGCCGTGTTGCCCAGCTTGTAGCGAATGCTGTTGTTGACTTGTGTGGGGTGGAGCGGTGGCGCAGTGGTTAGCGCACCGCGAAACGAAGACGTCAAACCTCACCCTGACTCCGCCGGGGTTCAGCGAACATCAGCGGCTCAGAGTGAAATCTGAACCTGTACCGGGGCTTCCCACCCTTCAACAAACATGCACTTACCAGCGCGGTTAAGTATGGTTAAACAATCTCCCGTGACCAAAATAAAATTGTCGTAAATTATGGATTAGATTATATTGTGCAACGAGGCCAGCCTCATCGCCTAGAATTCTGCAAATGTATTTGGTTCAGCGACTAAATTGACAGCTACCAGCTTAGAACACGAAACCAGCTCGCCTTACTGTGTACATGATATATATGTATACACGCACATGTACTTTACATTTTATTCGGGGTGTAACGATGCATCGATTCAACGATTAATATCGATGTTAAGACTCACGATTTACGCGTGGCATATCTCGTGTGTGTGTGTGTCTGTGCAACGATCGATGTTTTATAGCGATGTCAATTATATGTGGGCTACGCTGACTTTACTCTAACACCAACGAGGACGAACTGCAGAGTGACAGGCCAGAAACTAAAATAAAACATCGTAAACGAGGTAGGCGGGATCATAACGCGCTGATCTTAAATTGCTGGGTTTACAAGAATGGTTTAAAACACGTGTCGCAAGTCGTTAGACGAAGAAAATTGATTAAATCTAGAAATAAAATTTATTTTATCATTCAACTTCTCCAAGAAATGAGGCTGAACTTGTGCCTGCACGTTCTTGAGTGGAATCAATGAAACGAATCAAATAGCCCCAGCTCTCCTCTGACAGACACGTGGCCTCAATGGATAATTATTTGTCTCCTTTTAAGTGAAGTTAATCCACCTCAACATTAAACAATAGATAGGCAGTGTACATGCTGTGCGCCACATCGACATTCGTTAAACACAATAACGGTGTTTGCACATCCTCCGTGTAGAACTTCTCTAGCGCCATACGTTCGTGACATCAGCCCACGTGTTCTCCGGACGTAGAGTTTTGCAGCAGCAACGTGTTCACGCGGGGGGACTCTGGACCGGTTCCCAGATACGGGCCGGTGGAGTTTGTTACAGGCCATCAGAGTCCTTTACGAGCCCCGTGCTCAGGAAATCCAGACTTGGAGCATCTCATGACAATGTCTGTGCATAACATCGTATAGAAATCCCTCCAACACATGGCCTTTGCTTATCCAGAAAAAAAACCTTCCAAAGACTCATTATCAGCAGTCCTACATCATGATACAATGCCCGAGTACAATGTGGAATTACACACACAATCTAAATGCGATACACACGCATTTGAAGACGCTGTACAGAGACAGTGGGCAAATTTATTTTGTAAAGGCTGCAGTCGTAGGCCTAGGCACAGACGGAGAAATGCCCATGATTCTGGACTGAAAGGAGGGGCTTGACAGCGCAGATCGCCGTGAGAAGGGAGTTCCAGATTGTGGTTGGTGGCAACCCAGGAAAATGAGTGCACGCAACTGCTGGTTCGCAACACCGTTACCTGCGGCTCTTTAAAGGACTGCTTTTTAACGTTGGTTTTTTTTTTTACCAGGTAAGGCCCACTGACCTATATGGGTCTTTTTCAGAAGCGACCTGGCCACAAATGATGGCTCAACGAAGCTGCTTATCACGTGGCAATGTATAGAGGCCAAATACTCTAAACTCGTGTGTCTAAATGTGGAGGGGAAAACCGGAAAAATCCACGCGATCGCGGAGAGATAGAACCCGCACACTCCAAATATACGAGCGTCAGGGCCGGAATCACACCCACGACCTCCTGTATACCAGGCGAGGGAGTTAACATCTTCACATGCATTGTGGCTCTTGAAATATTTCGTTTTTTTAATATATCCAATTGGAAAAATGATATATTCTTGTTACTTTGGTTGTCGACCCCGAATTAAACATTTCCTCCAGTTCCACACTCTAACGGCTATGTGATGGTCAGCAATCCTGGGATGCGTCACATTTTCTCCACGTGTGTTCGTGCCGTGAAATTTATTTTCCCCACTCCAAGTCTCCGAAAACGTCTGCTAATGTCACAGACGTAAACCCTGTGGAATAACCTAATTTGTCCCTGGATATATCTTAAAACCAAACCACCCCAAAGTGCATTGTCGAGGAACTGTGGTTGTATTTTATCATTTTATAATTAAACGATCGAAGGAATCTTTATATATGGCAGTATATTTAATGCTATACGAGTTAACGTTTCCCGACTAATGTTAAGAGCGCGTGTACATTAGCTCCGTCCGTCCGTGTGTCTGTTCGTCTGTCCGTCTTGTTTGGCTGTGACGGGGGAGGCGAAATAACTCGTAAATATCGTTCGACTTCAACGAAACCCTCCTAACGTGGTTGCGCTGTCATTGGGAACTTACCCTATTCAACATGGGCCGCAATGGTCAAAGGCTTGCCCGAGGCATCCCAGGCGGTGCCGTTATTCCCAGGCCTCGCGGGGTTCTCCACACGTGGCCACACCGCGCCTTGAGCGCCTGGCCGAGGGAGGCCACCGTTATAAATCGCTCATTAAATACTTCCAAAGGCAAACCTCGTGGATGGAAAGCGTTACAGAATCCACGCACCACTCTTCTTTCCTGGTTTAAAATATAACGTGTGCACAAAGTTAGCCGTGAAGACTTCTCTAACACGAGATAAGGGGTGTGATGTTTACGTTCGGCCGCATTTCCCACCAATACACACACGCACACGTGTGCGCGTTTTAGTCAAAATCTAGGACTCCTTTTTCTCCTATCGCTGCTACTATACAACCTTGTGCCTCTTATGTCACCGGTCATCTAACACGCACCACTTGAAGTCGCCGACTCATGTTGACGTTCGCAAGTTGAAGCCGAGACGCGGGGCGTGCGCGCAATGTCACAACTATTTCAAAGTCTTCGACCCCTGTCTTTTTTTTTGACACGCGGTCAATGCACTGTGCAGATAGCAATCGTTCTTCCACCGATAACTGTCCCATCCGCTATGAGATGAGTATCTGCGCTCGGGGCACCTGTCCCGTGACCAGGGCAATCAATGGGCGATCGGGTACGATCCGGCCATCACACGCGAGTCTTGCGTGAGTTTCGTTCCATTCCATTCTCATGCAAATCGCTGGAGCTTATAAAGTGAGCGGCACCGGACTCGCGCCTCAAGCCACACGAGGGCTTCGTCCAGGTCACCACCTTTCACCCCCCCCTTCCCTCGCCACCCCGATACGTGGATTCACGCGCTCGGGCAAACATCACGTGCACCACTACCCCGCCACGACCCCAACGAGACATCATCGAGCAGCAGCCGGCATGGAGGAAGCCGGGAACGACAAGGGCCGCTTCCAAGTGAGCGTACAGCCCGGCGAGGATGGGGAGAACTACGCGTACACGGACACGCACACCAACACCTACTACTCGCGCACGTTCGGCCACAACACCCTGGACCCGGTGCCCAACTACAACTACTACTGCCGCACGGGCACCATCCACGGCAAGAAGCTGCCCAGGCCCAGCATTCACGAGCTGCACGCCACCTACATCCCGGTAGGTCGGGTTGCAAGTGTCTCGGTATGCGTGTGTGTGTCTCGGTGTGCGTCTGTGTGTGTGTCTCGGTGTGCGTGTGTGTGTCTCTGTGTGTGTGTCTCTGTGTGTGTGTCTCGGTGTGTGTGTCTCTGTGTCTGTGTGTGTTTTGGTGTCATCGTGCCTGCAACCCTTTTCCCCAGCAGCCTGTGAAGACTGTTGATGGCATCTTTCTATTTGTGTAACCTCGGTAGAGAGATGGGCAGGAGTAGCAGACTGCGCTTTAAAACATGAGACCCAGCGACCCACTTGGGTCCCGTCTATCCGAAACGTCGTCAATTATGGCGGGGTTTTTTTTCCTCTTCAGGGCAGCGTTATTGACGAACGCGTTGAAATGTTATTTGCTCGGGGAGCACACGCATTTGTCCGCTTGAATGGTTGAGTGCGGTGTTCCGTATTCCACTCGGTCCTGGGTCTAGCGCATGCGTTTGATGCCCTCTAAGGAACGTGCAACCCAAACTATGGACCACTGCGATCTGCGCTCCTCCAAGACGAGGAGGGAACAGCAACACGACACCAACTTGGCCTCCCAGAACGCCCTCTTGTCGTGCCCAGCAAGATCCCAACATCTAGCTCCTAAACGTATCGCCGTGCACAAGCGTAGATAGATTCGTCTCGTTAATAAATGTCTCGTTTCGTTAATAGACGTAGACTTCGCTTTGGTTTTCAGATTTTTGATCGAGAGGCCAGTGCTGAAATTGACTCCACTTCATGGTAGTGGCCCCGTACAAATACAACGCGTGATGAGCTCTCCAGTGTGGTTATCACATGTAACTAGCCTCCAAATATAGCCATTTCTAAACAGCAATGTAGTTTTTTTTGCGAGCGGTAAAGGCGAGTGGCACGCTTGATCTGAGCCCGTGGACCAGAGCAGTTGATGACATTTCTCATGATGCCATGGTCACAGCTACCACTGCACGGCGTTCACGCGTTGATATCATTCGGTGCTAGGAATCCAGCCGCAGGGGGCTTTCAAATGACCTCTGCATTGTTGGTTTGCTTGTCTCAAGGCCGTAGCCATGGAGTCAACATTGGGGGGGGGGGGGGCAAATCTTCCAGGGGGTCTGGGGGTCCCACCCTCAGAAAATAAATCTAAATTTGAAAACGAATTTCCTGCCTAAAATATTAAAAAAAACTTCACTAACACATAGGATGGAGTTTTTCTTTATTTTTTACAATAATGTCTAATGGTGTATTTATTACATTGCTCTGTTTTTTTTTATTTTATACCTTTTCTAGTTTCATTGTATGTAATGGCAGAGATTCGGAATTAATAAAGTACAACCATAACCACAATCGTATAAACGGAAATCTGTTTTATAGCAATATATTGGGGGGGGGGGGACATTTTGATGTGTCCCCCCCCCCAATATATATTGTGCCCCCCCCCCCCCCCAATATATATTATAATTACGGCCTTGTCTTGTCCTGTAAAAATGTGAAAGGAGCCGCATTCGCGCGTGTAGTCCTGTGCTTGACGAAGCTCTACCGCGTGCATCCACAGCTGGACGAGGGCCTCCACCGTGCGGGTAGTCGGGGATGATTTGGCCATACTTCGCCACGCTGGTCAGCGCGCGTTGAAGGCGCGGTGGATTCTGCTTCACTGCCCTCTGCTGCTCACAACGTGAACGGTCAACAATGTGTTGACCGTCAAAACGTTCACGTGAGCAAGCGATGGAAATTACACATTGCCATGGTGGTTTAACTCCCGCCGTTCCTCAATTTTACTGAGATTTGACTTAACAGAAGCCTTGTTGATATTCGGGTCAAGCGCTACTTGTTTTAGATTAAAGTTAAAAACGCATGGCCCGTACGGGGATCGAACCCGCGACCTTGGCGTTATTAGCATCACGCTCTAACCAGCTGAGCTAACCGACCACATGATGAGAGTGATTTAGGGTCCCAAACTCTATCTTTGACGAATGCCCCCTGCTCATCAACTCCATTTAGCGAAGCACGCTCACTTCTCACTTTGCGTGCTGTTCAAATTTGTTCGGTGGAGAACCGACAGGCTTCCTCGCGAGCAATGTGGAATTTTCACCACGTGCTGAGAGAGCCGCCAAACGGAGACGAGGGCTTAAATATAAATGTGTCGTTAAAAAAATAAAACAACAACCCTGTATCATGGATGATATTGGTCGCGAAAGCCTACCTGTTAAACCGGAGACGAGGGCTGTGCGCACGGACTACCGTCGACGGCGCAAGTGGGAAGTCCTCAAAGTTTGAAGAATTCCAAAAAGGGGAGGTAATATGAAGCCCCATTGTGTTTAGGATCTTGTCCTTCCCCCGCACCTCCGATTAGCACGGATGGCTACGTACGGCGCAAACGGAAGTTCGACATACATACACAGCATTGTCTCACAGAAGCCTAACGTGTTGGGATCGCAAAAAAGAGAAAAGCGTGGGAGAGTTAGAGGAAGCTCCCAATGGGTGGGTCCGGCCACAAACACCGAGACGAGATCGACCACCGCACCGCCACATTGCACCGCGAGCCCAGAAGCAAGAGCTATGGCTGTGGTCACAGCGCCTTCGTTATTCGCTGTCCTGTCGGTGCATGGCAACGTAACAAAGAGCGCGTTATCAATTCACTGTCGGATGGCAGTCTCGATCCGCACGTGTTAATTGGTTATGGGGGTTGTTTGGCCATACTTCACCACGCTGGTCAGTGCGGCTTCGCGTAGCGGGTGGAGGGGGTTCATAGATCACTCGCAGCCGTAACCCGGCGTATATGAATGGATACGTGAGATCGAATTGCTTGATAGCCGCACTCAATTTGAAGTGGTTTTCACTGAATTCGCTGCTGTTGGCCACGCAACGATTTCTGAACCTCCCGAGTCACGGGCACCTCTTGACGGTACAACGCAAAGCGAAACACACCCGCTCTGGGACTCTTCGTGGACCACCAACGACGTTATAAGAGTCACAGTCCTTTGTCAGTGCACACACACAAAGCGGTCTGTCATCGCGACTTAACAGTACTCGACGGGAGGCGAACTCAGAGCGCAGCACGCTAACCTGCTGTCACAAATGCCACGGTGATGTTGTTGACTGACCATTGCGCACTCGTGCGTGTGTGTGCGTGTGTGTGCCCCCCGTGCGAAGCCGGAGCCGACGGGTCTGTCGGGGGTCTATGACGACCCCGAGGCCGGGCAGGAGGTGGAGGAAGACGGCCCCAAAGCCCCTGAGCCCATCCTCTTCGGCTGGTTCCGTGGTGTGGGGGTGAGTGGGCGCATCCCCCCCCACAACAAGTGACACCACCACCCGACAATGCACAACACGTGACACCACCACCCGACAATGCACAACACGTGACACCACCACCCGACAATGCACAACACGTGACACCACCACCCGACAATGCACTACACGTGACACCACCACCCGACAATGCACAACACGTGACACCACCACCCGACAATGCACAACACGTGACACCACCACCCGACAATGCACAACACGTGACACCACCACCCGACAATGCACAACACGTGACACCACCACCCGACAATGCACAACACGTGACACCACCACCCGACAATGCACAACACGTGACACCACCACCCGACAATGCACAACACGTGACACCACCACCCGACAATGCACAACACGTGACACCACCACCCATCATCATCGTGCTGTCCTCACCCACACTGATGATGTCTCATCGGCGACAGTGCCCCCCCCCCTCACCCCCCCTTCTCTGAAATTGAATGACGAACACCGCTCTAGGCTGAGAAAAAGTGTCCCGGTTTTGTCTGCAGTGGAAAAAGGAGCGAGAGGGGGTAGGGAAGGCGGGGGGGCCCGAGCTCACGGAGACCAATCGCATGACTGCGCACCTCTTCACAAACTTTAACTTAGAAAACAATCCCCCTGCCGGCGGAGCGCCTACCGCCAGCATTGACGTGAGGAAGAAATTGCAAGGCTGTACCTTTGACTTTCTTTAGTTGCCTGACCCTCTGGTGACACCCAGCGGCACCAGCCGATTAGCGTCGCGCATTGAGGCACCTCCAGAATCTTGAGTTTTCCCCTGCCCTACATTTTTTTGTACCAACCATATCGAGTCTTTTTTTTGTTGCTGCTAGTTTATTTTGAATGTATGGCAACTTGCTAGTCCAATCAAAATCGCAGTATCTCCACTCAAACTTATATTGATCTCATTTCACCCTCTGACAACGCATCGTGTCAAGAAGGGTGACATCGTGTGAGTGGTCCCAGCCAGAGCCCACGTTACAAATTCCACCTTCATATGGCAGCGGATTCAGTCTCTCCACAGGATGCCGATTGCGGAATTCCCACAAAAGGAAGACAATGTATCCACCCCTGGGCTATGATGGGATTAGCGGGACCTTCGACTAGAATTCGAACCTGTGATCCTCTATAATCATCGTCTAAACCCCTCACCAACTCTCTGATAAGCTTTCACACGAAATGTATTTTAATTCAAAGTAATTTGGACCCTGGGTAGCTTTGTGAATGTGACGCTCCTGCCCCAAACTCTGCCTGGCGATTTGGAACGGAAACCTCAAATCATTTTTTTATCATCAGAACGAGAATGGGATCCAATTTCAATCAATTCCCGCCCCACCCCCAAAAAATAAAATAAAAACTTAGAAATCACATTTATCGTTCTCCTTGGGCAGAGCATAACGAACGAGTGGCTTGCCAAGGAGTGGAATAACTCCAAAAGTCCGCTTACCGTGGAGATGGAACAAGACATTCAGCGTGTGTGTCGGCGCTAAGCGGATGGCTTCAGGAGGCCACCATCCCTCCCGCAGTATGAGTCATTGCGGGGCCGATGATCATCCCAAAGTTATCGCCCGTCGCTGGTGTCGGCGCTGATCCTTCGGCGTTGATGTTTTGGATGTGTGGACAGATGCGTGTGATGGTGAACATCTGGGGGGTCCTCATGTTCCTCCGCCTGCCCTGGATCACGGCGCAGTCGGGCATCGGTAACGCTTCTCTCTTTTATCCACCACCACCACCACCCTCCTCCACTCTCGTAGCATCGCGCAAATATGGGGTCGTGGGGGTATCATAATAATAAAAATAAAAAGGCCGCTTATCCCAGCCGTGCCTGAGTACGATCTGTTATGAGTCTTCGGATGCTTTTCAGATCAGGTCACTGCTCAAGTGTGCCTGGGGGCAAGGGCCAGCAACCCTTGAACCCTACTCTCAATTGCGACACGTGACAAAGCACCACACGCCTTGCAGAACTGAGCCCTTGAGCTGCAGTGAACCAATGATTATGACGATTAGATGTACTCATGTCTGCTGTGCCTCTCGTTCACAATTGCACTCAATAAAAAACAAAGTCGCGAAACTCCCTTCCCGTGGGTGCCGAGGACCTTTCGAGTGATTCCGATGGCACAGCCGTGCGAGAATGGAGTTTGCATGAATAACGCTGCTGTATAAATCACTCGTTACGACTACAGTCAGCGATGTCTGAACCGATCCGAGGCATGCCCCTTCACCGACCCGCATTGACGAGCATGGTGGTGAAGTGTGGTGAGAACCCCTATGACCGACACGATGTGGGTTGGTCTTAATCCAGCAGTGGACTGACAAAGGCGGCTCTGCATATGCACGTGCTTGCCATGCTTTCTCGGATGGAGGACTTTGCGTTTTTTTTTTTAAGACGAAGATTCGTGATCGTGAGTTGATTGAGCGAGCGCGGAACGACTCTAACGGACGATCTTTCCGCTTCCCTTGGCCAGGTCTCATGTGGTTGATCATCATCATCTCCTGCAGCATCACCAGCACGGCTTGCCTGTCCCTCTGCGCTGTCTGCACCAACGGCAAGGTGTCTAGAGGTGTGTGAGTACACATATACTGTACATATATAAAACGCTGTGTCCGAACCATCTCCACCTGCTGCTGAATTGAGCATCGGGGGGGCAGTGTCGCTCAATTTTCTCCCACCGGAGTGGGGACTCACTCTTAACGACCCCCGAGGTTTTGCAACTCGCCACCTTCCCCGCTCTGGGCGGCGAGCCGAGCCACCGCCTGGCCCATCGGTTACACGGCCTGCTGCCACGCGCGTGCACGCGCCCTGCCACGCACGTGCACGCGCCCTGGTTGTAGTTGGTAAGGGCCCCGTGGGTGGCAGGGCGCGTGGATCGCTATTGGCGCTCCTGCGGCTGATCGCCGTCTTTCGTGTTGATGTTGTTGTTTGTGATCGCCGCGTCTTGCCCAGGCGGTTCCTACTTCTTGATCTCGCGCACGCTCGGCGTGGAGCTCGGAGCGCCCATGGGCGTCATCTACAGCTTCGCGTCCTGCGTCGCCATCGCCTCGCACACAGTGGGCTTCGCCGAGACCCTCAGGGACATCCTGCACGTAAGGGCAACCACACACCCGTCCACCGAGCCAACCATCCACCCGTCCACCCACCCACCCGTCCACCCAACTATGCGCCCGCCCACCCGTCCACCCAACCATTCACCCGTCCACCCACCCACCCACCCGTCCACCGAGCCAACCACCCACCCGTCCACCCAACCACCGGTCCACCCAACCATTCACACGTCCACCCGTCCACCCAGCCACCGGTCCACCCAACCACCCACCCGTCCACCCAACCACCCACCCACCCAACCACCCACCCACCCACCCAACCACCCACCCACCTAACCACCCACCCGTCCACCCACCCACCCGTCCACCCACCCACCCAACCACCCACCCACCCAACCACCCACCCGTCCACCCAATCACCCACCCACCCAACCACCCACCCGTCCACCCAAGCACCCACACACCCACCCACTCGCCCACCCGTCCACCCAACCACCCACCCACCGAGCTGCGCCAAGACATGGGGTACCCCCGCGTAGCCCCTAACGCACTGTTTGGGGGCAAGCGCCGTTCGCGAGTAGCAGCACCTACGAAGGCCGGCACGGCACACGGGGAGTGGGTGCCCAGCACCACGCCCGGCCGCCTTTGTCTCCCAAGCGGCGATGTTTACACACGCGCACCTGATCCTCATTTAAGGCTGAGTCGAACCAGCGGTGGGGGGGGGGGGGGGGCGGCGGGGGGGGTCTCGGGTCGGTTCAGATAAAATCCTCGCTGCCGTCGGCCGCGATGGGTGGGGGAATGGAACTCGGCTCGCCGAGGTTGCGTCACGGGCGGTCAGCGCTCTGACCATCCCTGCGCTCCCGCTGCCGCACGACAGGGCGGGAATCTGATCATGGTGGACAAGGTGAACGATCTGCGCATCATCGGAGTCATCGCCGTCACGTGCCTGCTGGGCATCGCGCTCGCGGGCTTGGCCTGGGAGAACAAGGTGGGTGGCCACGTCGGCGTCGCGATCTCGCGCGCCTGACGTTCGCACTTTGCGGTTGATACACGTGGTGGTGGTGGTGGGGGGGGGGGGGCTTCCGCGAGCAATATCATCCGTGATGCAGGTTTTTTTGTTTGTTACTTTGTTTGCTCGCTCGGGTTAGAGCGCGTGTAAATATGTGATAGACGTGTCGTTAAAACCGCCACCACCCGACACAGCCAATTGGTAAGGGTTGTCACGTAAACAGAACGTGGCCAATTCGGCACTGGTACAGCACTAAGCGGTGTGCTGGAGAGCCAAGCCGCAACATTTACAATCTGAGTCCGACGTTTCGCCAGTAATTCTAACCGGCATCATCAGGCGGCAGCCAGATTTGTGGGAGAGTCTTCCTGCCGCGTTCCTTAAATCGCGGGGTAGACGCGTCGAACCAACGTGAGTGTATAGGTAAAGCTGTGGGTACGGTTTTGGTGTCCACGTGTAGGTAGCGGGAGCTTCAGTGGCGATTTCAATGGGAATTAAGATGAGGCGTACGAGGATTTCTGCTGCGGTCTTGGCAGGCAACAGCGGCGCTCCGTGGATAATTTGTCTGTCGTGTTATTCACCACCTGTGTGTCGTGTTACTCACCACCTGTCTGTCGTGTTACTCACCACCTGTGTGTCGTGTTACTCACCACCTGTGTGTCGTGTTACTCACCACCTGTGTGTCGTGTTACTCACCACCTGTGTGTCGTGTTACTCACCACCTGTCTGTCGTGTTACTCACCACCTGTGTGTCGTGTTACTCACCACCTGTGTGTCGTGTTACTCACCACCTGTGTGTCGTGTTACTCACCACCTGTCTGTCGTGTTACTCACCACCTGTCTGTCGTGTTACTCACCACCTGTCTGTCGTGTTACTCACCACCTGTGTGTCGTGTTACTCACCACCTGTGTGTCGTGTTACTCACCACCTGTGTGTCGTGTTACTCACCACCTGTGTGTCGTGTTACTCACCACCTGTGTGTCGTGTTACTCACCACCTGTGTGTCGTGTTACTCACCGTCTGTCGTGTTACTCACCACCTGTGTGTCGTGTTACTCACCACCTGTGTGTCGTGTTACTCACCACCTGTGTGTCGTGTTACTCACCACCTGTGTGCCGTGTTACTCACCACCTGTGTGTCGTGTTACTCACCACCTGTGTGTCGTGTTACTCACCACCTGTGTGTCGTGTTACTCACCACCTGTGTGTCGTGTTACTCACCACCTGTGTGTCGTGTTACTCACCACCTGTGTGTCGTGTTACTCACCACCTGTGTGTCGTGTTACTCACCACCTGTGTGCCGTGCTACTCACCACCTGTGTGTCGTGTTACTCACCACCTGTGTGTCGTGTTACTCACCAACTGTGTGTCGTGTTACTCACCACCTGTGTGCCGTGCTACTCACCACCTGTGTACCGTGCTACTCACCACCTGTGTGTCGTGTTACTCACCAACTGTCTGTCGTGTTACTCACCACCTGTGTGCCGTGCTACTCACCACCTGTGTGCCGTGTTACTCACCACCTGTGTGTCGTGTTACTCACCACCTGTGTGCCGTGCTACTCACCACCTGTGTCGTGTTACTCACCAACTGTGTGTCGTGTTACTCACCACCTGTGTGTCGTGTTACTCACCACCTGTGTGGTGTTACTCACCACCTGTGTGTCGTGTTACTCACCACCTGTGTGTCGTGTTACTCACCACCTGTGTGCCGTGTTACTCACCACCTGTGTGTCGTGTTACTCACCACCTGTGTGTCGTGTTACTCACCACCTGTGTGTCGTGTTACTCACCACCTGTCTGTCGTGTTACTCACCACCTGTGTGTCGTGTTACTCACCACCTGTGTGCCGTGTTACTCACCACCTGTGTGTCGTGTTACTCACCACCTGTGTGTCGTGTTACTCACCACCTGTGTGTCGTGTTACTCACCACCTGTGTGTCGTGTTACTCACCACCTGTCTGTCGTGTTACTCACCACCTGTGTGTCGTGTTACTCACCACCTGTGTGTCGTGTTACTCACCACCTGTGTGTCGTGTTACTCACCACCTGTGTGCCGTGTTACTCACCACCTGTGTGCCGTGTTACTCACCACCTGTGTGTCGTGTTACTCACCACCTGTCTGTCGTGTTACTCACCACCTGTGTGTCGTGTTACTCACCACCTGTCTGTCGTGTTACTCACCACAGGCTCAGCTAATCTTCTTCGCGTTGATCATCATCGCGCTGCTGGACTATCTGCTGGGGACCGTCATGCCTTCCCCCATCGATAAGCAAGCCAAGGGTTTCTTCGGCTACAACAGTGAGCGTCTCTCTCCGTTCTTCTTCTCCTCCTCCTCCTCCTCGCCGTCGTCTTTGTTGTTCGAGCACCGAAGACGGTGGTCGAGGAAGGGCCGTGGGAGAGAGGGGGTGGGATGAGGTTACGAGACACCGCAGCCACAGATCACGCGGCCTTGTGACGAGGACCGATCGCAGCGCCTCTTCATTGCAAGGCCACCGCGTGGGCCACTGGCACCCCCATCATCATCATCATCAAACCCAACAATGCTTTCAAATATGTGGCGTGGTCACTCACACACACTGTGCGATTTACTGGCGAAACGTCGTACTCAGATTGTAAATGTTGTGGCTTTGCTCTCCAACACACCGGTGTGCTGCTGTACTAGTAACGAATTGGCCACGCTCTGTTTACGTGACAACCCTTACTAAGTGGCTGTGTCGGGTGGTGGTAGGTGTAACGATACATTTATATATCTACGCGATCTAACCCAAAGAAACCTGTATTATGGATTCTTCCAACACGTCCGCTCGGCTCGGAAGAGTAGACCAAGTTACCCGAGTGAGTCATTGATCCATCAAATTTGACGTCAAACTTAAACGTCGACCGGCAGGAAACTTCTCACCGGTGTCCCGGGCGCCTCGGGGCACGCCCAGGGTCGGGTCGCGGTTACGAGGGGCCGAAGGCGAACGAGATCGAATGGCCTAAGTGATGCACAGGACGTGCAGTATTACATATTGCAGCAAAACACTATGGAGTCATCCAACATTTATTAAATTAACAAATTAATTCGACAGGAATGTTAATCCGGCCCTGATCGCGCCACACGAGAGGCTTCATGGTGTAAATAATAAACTGCGATGATGATAGTGATGATGATGATGATGCCCTCTGCTTCACAAGCTACGATTGTTTTTTTGTTGCACGCCTTATACTTTTTACACTCACGCCACCGATCTGCGTTTCGTCTTTTTTTTTCAGCAAAAATCTTTAATGACAACTTCACGCCGAGTTTCCGCGGGCCGTACGACTTCTTCAGGCTGCTGGGCATCTTCCTGCCCTCCGTGACGGCCATCCTCACTGGCGCCAACATTTGTGGAGACCTGAAGGTAGAGGGAATGCCGTTCGCGCTCGTTAACTTTAGCTTAATCTTAAACACGCAATGCCACTCAGGCACCAGGGTTGCCACCGGTCCCAGTGTTTTTTGTTCCCTGGGACGTCTTCTCTTTGATGCAGTCATCTTTGGAAAGCTGCATGGCGATTCAGCGCGATCGCCCCGTGGTTTAGGGGGCCCCGTGCTTTGACGTCACCGTGTCAGATGCAAGTGTTGGGGGGGGGGGCACGGTGGCATTCCCTCTTGGCCCCGCATCCCCCCTATGGACGGACCTGCCCGTGTGTAAACCCAGGACATTACAAGCCCTGCGTTTTTGTCAGTTGTCTAACAACAACAACAATGACAATAATACTCTACTCGGGCCAATGCACGTGTCGTTCTCCCCTCTTCCGTTATCTTTGAGATATTCTCCCGCGATGTCCCAGTATTTCTCGTTTGCGCCTCAGAGCTGGCAACCCTCATGAAATGACAAGTTGAGCGCAGCGTCACGCTGATGTAAGAACGGACATGCAGAGGCGTGCGGCCCGCTTACTTTCTGGCCTTTCGTGGGCCAGCTGTCAACGTTTTCCCTCTCGGACACTAAGCAATGGCCTTTGTTCATTTAACGCAACACGACCGGCAACGACGAGCACGAAGGGAAAGCAGAGGGAGTGAAGAGCTAGGGAGAGGGCACTTGCCAATAAACCAGGGGCGTTTATGTTAAAATCTGCTGATGACACCCAGACAGTTGGAACCAGTTGACGGTCGGCTTTGCCTAAGCGAATGCTTGCTGGCGGGTCTCAACGGCGAGTAGGGCCAAGAGGGCGACGATTGCAGCAGCGTCGTTGGCCGTTCCGTTGAGTCGAGCTACTACCTCTGTGAAAAAAGAGCTTCGTTGCTCATCGGACTGCTCCAGTATGAATACATATTCTGATCCTGCTTTGTGCACCGCTGCCAAGTGAGCGTCGCACAACGGCTTCCGTTGCGGTGTTTCTTCGTCGAGTAAAAAGTCACCGTTCCTCGTGGACATTTCTCCGATTGCTCCCCGCCTTAGGAACCAGCCACAGCCATTCCCAAGGGGACCTTTCTGGGCATTGCCGTCACAGGATTGTCCTACGTCATGATTGCCACCACCATCGGTGAGTCATTCGCTGCATATGTCACCGATGCATAACGTGTAATTCTATAAATGGATAGCGTGCCTTCAATGTTGCGTTTAGTATAATCTCATCTTAAATGCATTTTGTTGGATCAACACACATCCTGCAGACTCAATGTTTACTCAACTTCGTCCTCTTCTTTCAACCGCAATTTCACGATAAACTGGCGCCGCTGGAATTCTTTATCTGCTTAGCGATAGCGCAATGATCGATAACCCCCCTTTCCACCCTTTCCACCCGCACATCCGAGCCACGCCAGCGCGGGGCCCTCACAAGTTACAGGGGTCGTGCTCCGCCGGCTCTTTGCCTCATCGAGCACGCAACCAAACGGTGATATTTGCCGGTCTCGCATCTCGGACCTGTGCTCGGGGCCAAGCAAGCGCCTAAGGGCGGGAGTAACGACGCTTCGTCAGCGCGCCGTGAGGACGCGGCCATCGCCGCGTGATCTACGCGCGCGCGGACAACCAACCCGCCGTCTCGCAAGCTGCGTTGGGCCCAGCGCGTTGCACTGTGGCCCTGGCGCAGCTGCCGGTCCCCGCTGCGCCGTGGAAGGAAAAATAAGGTAGACGTGAGATGTAGAGCGTGGGTGACCCGCGCGTGTTGTTCTCTCACACCCCCCCCACCCCCCACCAGGCTCTGTCAGTCTGCGAGACGCCACGGGCAACCTCTCCGACTCCCTGTCGTACGTCGCGCCCCTGATAAACGACACGAACATCACGACCACCGCCATGCCCGGCTTCTTCTCCACCTTGCTGAGCAGCACGGTCAACTCCACCGTGGCGACCGCCAACTCCACCATGGCGACCGCCAACTCCACGGTGCTGTCGTCCACCATGGCGGCCGCGCGCGTGTGCACCTTCACCAAGACGGGGTGCGATCTCGGCTGGAACTTTGGCGCTTGCAATGCGACTACGACCATCGCTCCCGGCTTCAGTCCCTGCAGCTTCGGCTTCATCAACCAGTACCAGGTGCGCGAGAGAGCCGTCCCTGGCCTCAAGTCGGCGCTTTGCCGGCGTTTCCTCCGTCTTGCAATGAACGTGGGCAAGGGGCCGGGGTTTAACTGGGCGAAGCAGCCGCTTTTGGGGTTGTGGCCAGTGCCTCCGATTTGAAGGGACCCCTTCAATGATGCTTGAGACGCAACACGCCAACCACCGCCACGATAAATAATAATGTACCTAACTTTGGTGATTGAAGCCGTAGTGTTATTGTACCCGTTGCTGCTGGTTTTGATTGAGCATGCTGTTCGTCTTCTTTGGTTCTTTCGGTAAAGTCACGTAGAATGAGAATAAAATAATAAAATAAAACAATAAAATTCTCACGACGTTTCGGCCACAACACAAGTGGCCTTCCTCAGGTTGTTCCTTTCACCTGAGGAAGGCCACTTGTGTTGTGGCCGAAACGTCGTGAGAATTTTATTGTTTTATTTTATTATTTTATTCTCATTCTACGTGACTTTAGCGAAAGAACCAAAGAAGATGAATCCTTGCAGTCACGAAAGCTTTAAATCCATGCTGTTCGTATATATCCCATTTAAAAACCGGAACTGAAATAACCAAGGTGAATAAGAACAGGGAGTTTGGCCATTAGGCTAGGGTGGTGGTAAAACGGGCAAGGGACGGTCGTCAATTTGGTCCTGAAAATGGAGCAGTGCTCTACAGGCCTGAGCTGTTGATGGCTATTACATATTGGCATGCTATGGGCCAGTCTCTTCATAGGGACAAATCACTCTTGACTTCTCGCAAAAGTGGTCGTAATATGATTGACCTGAGAGGAATGATGGATTGAGTCCACTCCCACTGGGGATTTGAGTTATCTCATTTGTAAGTTGAGTTCACCCAGCCTGATTGTTACTCAACTAACAAGGCTGCTAACCTACGAGGTTCTCAGTGGGTTAGTTCCACAATATTTGCAGGAACTCATCCACTTTTATACTCCAACGATCTCCCTGAGATCTTAGGATCGCCTTCTTCTCAGTACTCCGAGGCCAAGGCTCTGTTCCTGGGGTGATAGGGCTTTTGCCGGTGCAGCTCCCAAAGCTTTGGAACCCCACAGGATGATAGGACGCGCGTCGGGCGTCCTCCACGCCGCTGCCGATAAGAGGGAGTTCCACCATGGTTAAAAGTCACGATATGATGACGACGCGCATCGCTAAGCGCCGTGCCCGTGGTGCCTAGGTCATGGCGATGGTGTCCGCGTGGGCCCCCCTCGTCTACGCCGGCATCTTCGGAGCTGGCCTCTCCTCCGCTCTGGCCTCTCTCATCAGCGCGCCCAAGTGCTTCCAGGTGAGGAGAACGAATGGCGACGGCGGCCTGTTGCCAGATTTGCTCCGTTGGCATTACGCGCTTCCTGTGGCCAAATCACACGGGTCGTGTCCGGTCTTGTCACATCTCGGAAGCGAAGCAAGGGGGGAGATCCTGCGCAACGCTTGGACGTGTGACCGCCGTGCATGGCATAGGCGTTGCAGGTTGGGATGCCACCTTGTCCTGGTTTTCCCAGGGTCGTCCTCTTGTTGATCTGGCTGCTGTTTTCATAAATCTGCCAGTCTTCCCGTGACATTAAAAGTCCCGGTATTTGTCAGCTGTGCATTACTACGCCACTCGAGACAACGCATGTGCACGTCGTTCTTCCTCTCTTCTGGTCTTGCGGGAAATTATTTTTTTCTTCCCATCATACGTCACGACATGGCAATCATAGTTGCAGGCCGCCGTGGGGCGCATTCCAGACGATTTTCAAATTTCACTGTTGTACTGTACCACGCTCCCACATCTATGGTCCACACCTTCACCAACCCACAATGACCAGCGTGGTGAAGTATGATACAAAAAAAACCTCCACCACCTGCAACGACACGGGGAGGCCCTCATCCAGCAGTGGATTGACAACAGGGCCGCACGTGTACTCGTTGTGCTACGCGATAACGGTGCAGTCCACTGGTCTACTTGCAGGCTCCCCTGTCGGTTTGTTTTGGTTGCTGAACTGTGTTGTGCTTCTTGCAGGGAGTGGCCAGGGATAACATTTACCCTGGAATCACGATCTTCGGCAAGGGCTTTGGCAGGAACCAAGAGCCCGTTTTTGGGTACCTGCTGGCCTACACCATTGGAATTTGCTTCATTTGCATTGGTAGGTCTGCTTCGCGTGTTCCCCTCACGTCCACGTGCTTTTAAATCTTGTACTTTGTCTCACTTGCCAACCTTACAGAAACAACATCGAGGCAGGCCGGTGCCTGCCCAGGTAAAGAATTTACCCAGATTGCTTCAGACTCGTGTAGAGACCCACAGTCACGCATAGAGTGCTTTTGTGGAATATTTTTTTTTTTATCCAAATAATAGATGGGAATAATGATTACAACTTGAAGGTGGAACAAAAGAGTCAAAGTTGATTTCCTGCTCCTCAAATGAGCATTGAGGCGGCACTCATCTCATATTTACAACCCTGAGTCCGTTGTGGAATTTCCACATCCCTATGGTGGGTGAAGTCTATCCAAAGCACAAACTGATGGCTACCCCACAAAGTTTTGACGTCACATGGCATCATGACATCGCGTATGCACACGTGACCAGTAATCTCGATATCTTGTCTCCAGGTCTCGCTTTTATCTCACCAATATTAATTCATTGTCTAGAGCACTCCCACTTCTATCTCTTGCTCATCTCCCATCTTACTAAGCTCCATCCCTTCATGCCTTGGCGAGCCACATCTCTTGGCGCGTCACTCCAAAAGCCCTCGTGGGCCCGATGTTTCCACGCCGGCTGCCCGTCAACGAATCAATCTTGGCATAGAGTGCGTTTCGTCTAGCAGGCGTTGCATTTATGCATGTATGCTGAACTTCTTTCGCAACGTACGTAGCCCAGCGTGCTAATCGGAGGTGTGGCACGTGTGTCGACGATGGCAGTGTGCGGTGAGGGCTTACGGAGGCCGCCGGTTTTAAACGAGATGGGTGAGCAGACGTCGTTCTAACAAAAAAAAAAAACGATTGTGTCGCAGCTGACCTGAACCTGATCTCGCCCATCACGGCCTGCTGCTTCCTGAACACCTACGTCATCCTCAACTTCAGCGTCTTCCACTCCAGTGTGGTGAAGTCTCCAGGTGAGCGGGGGGCCCGTCGACTCGGCGACACATCCCGACCGCTGCCGTAGAAACAACGACGACGGTGTGCAGAGTTTAATTTTATATATTTAAAATTTTAAATGGACCCTATCTTTAGAAATGTCGTTAGGCTTACAGTGCCGCCGTGGCTCGAGGTGTACACGGTTTTTTTTTTTGTGCACGCAGGCTGGCGGCCAGACTTCAAGTACTTCCACCCGGCGATCGCCATCATCACCATGGTGTTTGACATCATCATTATGTTCCTCATCCTGTGGTGGGGAGCCGTCCTCTCGCTGGGAATCTGGGTCGTGCTCTACTTATACTGCATGTACAAGAAGCCAGGCACGTTGGAAGCCATCGCCCCTTACCAACTTATGCATTTTCTCCATAAACTAAACACACCCTGTTAAAACCAGTTTGTTTATTTCTAAATTATACACTGTCCCTCCTAAGGGGGAAAACAAACCACAAGCATAAGTCCATTCCGCATCTCCCCATAGAATTATGTTTTAATCATCTTCTTGGTTCTTTCGGTGAAGTCACGTAGAATGGGAATAAAATAATTAAAAAATAAAAATTCACAATAACATTTTATTGCTTTATTTTTTTATTATTTTATTCCCATTCTACGTGACTTTACCGAAAGAACCAAGAAGATGAATCCTTGCAGTCACGAAAGCTTTAAATCGAAATGTTTTATTCCTTCGGCCAATTTGGCTTTCCAGACCAATGTAATCCAGCAGCATTTGGTTAAAGCAAGCAAAATCTGGATTAGATTCGACCTTCTTGATCTCATCAGGAGAGTCAGGCTTGTTAAAAAAAATCTATTTTCCAAGACAAAAAATGTAATGTGTTTATTTCTCATGCAGAGGTCAACTGGGGTTCCTCGGTGCAAGCTATGGGCTTCCAGACCGCTCTGGCCACAACACTGAACTTGGACGGCGTCAAGGAGCACATCAAGGTCTTCAGGTAGAGTTGTTATCACATCACGCCAGGCCGAGACTACAGTGCTGGCAGTTTGGCAGCTTGAATCACGGAGTGCGGACACTGGGTTCTCGTTGTAAAGTAATCCCTGTGTTGATTGGTATTCGTGCCATTGTTACAGCAGCAAGGCTATCGTGAAGTCGCCTTCGCTCAAAGTCGACTACCGTCTGCAGTAGTTTTACACCGGGGGGGTTAGGAGAGAGGCGAATCAATGTTTGCCGTATTCAGTCATTTGCGAGTAACTTTGAAATTTGGCAAATACGGACCGTGACGCTGGGACACGTGGCCCACTCCTTTCCCGATAACGTCACGCAATCTTCGTTGTAGTCCACCGTGCTGTGGAGCCGACGGCACGCTCTTTGGCTCGGGCACCTGCGGTATTAATCGGGGTGGCCAAAGTCACGGCCTGCGAGATTCCGTAGATAGCTCCACGCGCGTGTCGCGGTCGGGCCGCGCCGTTGGGCACGACGTCTGACGTTTCGCTGCCACGAGCCCCGGGAGCTTCTGTCCGTGCCGGCAACGCGGAGAGAAGCGCCCCGCGACGCCCCGCGTGCTTGCGGCGCGTCGGAGGCAGAGAGCCGCGCGGGAAAAAAAAAAATCTCAAAGGTGGCCGCGACGGGCACTGCGCGCGGAGAGCCCGTCGCGTCGACTCTTCTGACGAGCCCTGTGACCCGGCCGCCTCCTGCAGGCCGAACTGCCTGGTGCTCACGGGGCCTCCGCACCTGCGGCCGGCGCTGGTCGACTTCGTGGGCACCTTCACCAAGGGCGTCAGCCTCATGGTCTGCGGCAACATCGTCGTGGTACGTTCGCGCGCAACGATCGACGCGCATTCATCCCACGGGGTGGGGGGGGGGGGGGGGGGGGGCTGCGTGTTCAAAGCAACGTTGCAATGTACACGACGATGCAACCAGATTTGTCGTCGGTTGCGGTCACGTGGTTTGTTCTCTTGTGAAATGTAACTGAGCTTAAAGGTCACGGTTACAATTAACGGTTTATCCGTGCTCGGTATAGAAGGCGGTGGTGGCTACGCACGTGGGCTGTGATTAAGCACGATGGAGGCGAGGGTTGGTGGATGGCACCACCGTTGTGAAACTCCCTTCGTAGGTGTTGTGGAAGCCATGAGGACGTCGTACATTCAAAAAAAAAACGTGGAATACACCTGTTTTGTCTGTACGGGATTTCTCCAGGTGCTCCGGTTTTCCTCCCACATACAAGCACTCATTAATTGGCCGACATCACCTTAATATAATAGAGAATCGCAGAACTTTGGCAATTGTTGGCACCGGCTCACCGCGTGGCTGCCTTCCTGCTTGTCTGTGGTTCCTCACGCCTCTGAGTCATTCGCTACGAGAGCGAGCAAACACCGTGCCGCGGCGCGTTACAAGTTAAACTCAGAATTTGTATTATTACGAAGGAAATGTTTCACGACGCTCATTCTTACGAAGTTGTTCGACACGAGGGAGTGAGTGGAAGCGGCGGTTTTCCCGAACCTCCTCCCCCCCCCCCCCACCCCGGCAGGCGGGCCCCAACAAGAACCAGATCTGTGAGCTGCGGCAGACAGAGCACGGCAAGTGGCTGCGGCACCGGAACATCAACTCCTTCTACACGGCGATCGTGAGCAACAGCCTGAACGAGGGCGCCTCTGCGCTGCTCCAGGTAACGAGCGACATTTGAGGGCTCAGGCTTTAGTTCCGCCATGGCCCGGCTGGAGCGCAGGAGGGGATGACGGCCAACCATGGGTGGCCGTGTTGCGTAGGTACAGGCGGTCCCCGCTGTTTAACTTCCTGGCAGAAGCCGTTGGCTGGGAAAGTGGAAGTGACAACGGAATCCCTAGCGCAATGACTTTTTAGACCTGCTAGAGGGATCTTCTCACTACGGCATCCGTGTTTACTTTGACTTACGACCCATTTTCTCTCGCGGCATTTAGGATCGTAGGCTGATAAACTAACGACGGCATTGTAAGGGATTCTTTTGTACTCTGAGCCCAGGTTCGTCACTCATAAGTTAAGATGAACTACGTTCCCAGATGTTTTGGCCCAACGTTCCTTGTTGATCAGGAGATCGGAGCAGCTGCCCTGGAGTAGCAGCCATATCGACCAGGGGGGGCTAAGACGGTGTCAGAGACCTGCACTGGCACCACTGAGGCCTTGGGTTCGAACCCAGGATGGTGCCTGCGATGATAACCAAGTTCTCAAGTGCAGCCAAGTTATGGCTTCAGCCAAGTGACACAATTAGGCATATTGATCAAAATTCGAATAATTAATAATCACACACTCTTTCTTCTCCACCTGGTCATGACCGCTTGTGGTGCGATCGAAACGTCGTAGTGTTTGTTATTTTCTTTGAACCTATCGACGCGACTTTACTGAAAGACCCAGAGAACATACACGTGAGTTTGAGTCACAGTTTAATGCACATTTCTTTGTTTGCAAGGCACTCACGACCGGTGTGATGTTGGCTAGGTCCAGGACATGGTCACAAGTCGGGCGCCACTCGCGTACGAAGGCCAGGGAACCCAATTATTGTTCCAGCGTGCTGCTGCTTCATCTCTACACGACTGCTCCCATTCCTAACACACACACACACACGCGCGCGCATACCAGCCCCCGGGTGGTGCTGGTGTGATCACGGTATTTGCGCCAGGCTAGAGGTGCACACTGAGGCCGTGCGGAACGGTGGAGGAACTCTGCAAAGATTGTTCGAGCGGTGCGGTGCCGCAAACAAATTTCCCGTTGAGCTTGCGCGAAGTCCGCCGGGCAAGCGTGCGAGCGAGCGGAAACCCGGGGTCTAACGGGCGCATCGACGATGGCCGCCCCCCTCCCCCCTCCCTCCCCCCCCCCCACAGAGCACGGGGCTTGGCAAGCTGCGTCCCAACTTGGTCTTCCTCGGCTTCATGAACTCGTGGCTCGGAGAGGACCCCGCCATCATGCACGACTACGTGCAGATCATCCAGTGAGTGGCCCTTCCCGCACCTCGCCAGCGTGTGGTCACCTCTGACAGCGCCTCACGGGAAGCAATGTGCATTCATAAAGAGTTGCGCTTTAATCAATGTACATGCTGCTTAGTTCAGATTTTAATTTTTTTAAAACACTTCTGAATTGACTTTTTTACTTTCATAACCTTGCTGTAGCGGGCTAGTGGATACGACACAAGATGTCCAGAGTGGTATTCTTCTGTTGTTGCACAGCCTACGATGAGTGCAGCTACATTATTTAGTTGTAGATGATGTAGCTGCACTCACCCACCCCACTCACCCAACCACCCATGCATCCCACTGGGATTTTTTTTGCACACAGCGTTGGTGTACGGTGCTTTTTCTGGAATATTTTGCTGTTTTTTTTTCTGGATTTTCTGTTTGCACAGTCACATAGTCGCTTTACAAATGGCTCACAGGGCCATACCAAATAAATGAAAACTGAAAAATGCGTACGTTTGTAGCGGTGGGAAGGTACGCCCCCCAGGATCTGTATGGAATTCGTAAGCTGTAGCCGCGCACAGGGCGACAGTTTCTGACTTTACGCTCGTGCCTTGCGGGTGCAGAGATACCACCGGTGTGCACTGAGTGTAATTTGGTTTTGGCAGAGTTTTTTAGTGCGCACGTGAAACGATTTTCGTGGATCCGTTTGCGGGACGGGTTTTTGCAATTCTCCTTGCTTTTTCGCAGCAACGTGTTCGACTACAACATGGCCCTGGCCATCCTGCGCGTGAAAGAGGGCCTTGACATCAAGAATATGCCCGAAGTTCAAGGTGAGATATCTAGACGGAGCGCGGAGCTTCACGTATCGTTCTCCCGTCTTGCGGTGCCGCGAGAGATATTCGCCTTCCCACGATGTGTCCTCGTTTTTTGTACCTCAGAGGTGGCAACCCCCAACTCCCTGCTCAATCAAGTGTCGGGGTGGGTGCTCATTTACACTTTCAGAACTGGATAAGTGGTAGAAGGTCCACATTACAGGCAGTCCTCGACTTACGAACACCCGACTTACGACCACCCGACTTACAAACACCCGACTTACGAACCAGCTTCCATGAAATATATATTTCTTTAATATCGACTTAAAACGTGAACTCGCACTCGCGAATTGAAACGCGGAAACTATTTTGTTCAGTGGGAGCGATCCTCCGCGAGATGTAATGAGTCAGCTTTGCGCTGGGAGTGAGCGTTTGTGGTGTTTGTGTGTACGTGTGCACGTGTGTGTGTGTAAAAGTGAGTGTGTGGGGAGCGGTAGTGCAATGGTAAGCGCACCGTGCAACCAACCTGGTATCCCGAGTTCAATTGCCACTCACGACCAAACCAGTGTCGATTATCTGAACGTGTCCTGGGCCTCCCCTAGGTCGACTCAGTCTCAAATGAGTACCTGTGCGTGGTGCTGGCCACTCACCCCCTCGTGTGCCGTGCCGGCCTTCATATAGGTGCCGCTTGCTAACAGCACTTGCCCCAACAGCCTGTGGAGACTACAAGGGGGATCGTTGTAGTTAGTGTGTGTGTCTGTGTGTGTGTCTGTGTGTGTGCGCGTGCAATTGTGGTTACTCATTGCGCCCCTTCCGACAAGCAAGCCAGCATCAGGACTCCAGGTAAATGAAAATGAAACCGATTCTATTCTTTTATATTTGTGTTACTTTATTTTAAGTTATTTACCGTAGAATATGTATTACAGTGTTACATGCAAATGCACATTTCTTCTTATTTATGAGTTTTTAACGATGCTTCCTCTTTTTGTTGAACCGTAACACATTTCATAACACTGACAGAATTGGCTTTTACAGTGAGTTAACGTGTTCTGACTTACGCACCATTCCAATTACGAACGGGTCTCAGGAACTGTGTTCGTAAGCCGAGGACTGCCTGTAATAATGAAAGGAGTCTGTGGGACAACCATTGCGGACTTCCAACAGGACGGCACTCACTTCGTCAATTCTGGAGTAACGATGGGCTGAGCTGAACACCGATCGGGAATCGCTCGCGCAATTGTTTGATCTCGAGTCCGGCGCCTGTGATGGAGACACCCGGTCCATGCCAAAATAGCATCTGGAAAGAAAGCCAACTTGTACTTGATCAATCAAGCGGCCTTCACGGGGAGGACCTCATCCACCGGATGTTTTGACGGATAAGGGGCTGTAACCTGCACGCGTGGGCCGTAAGCGCCCGAAATCCACACGTGGGGTTAAGCACCGAGCACGTTTTTCCCCTTGCTCAAATGTTCACACCGCACGCTGTGTGTCCGCCGCCCCCTGCAGTCAACATGGCTTTCCAGTTCGATGGCAGCGGCGGCGGCGTTGGGAAGGTGTCCGGACTTGTCGCGAAATCGGCGTAAGTACTGCGTGACGGCACAAACCCGGCCGCACGGATGTAGACAGCCTACAGGATTAAGAGCTGCACGTTGTTTTTTTGTTTTCGACAAGCTCATAGGCCGTGGACTCCAAAGCGAACGCAGTTTCTCAACCGAAGCGGAGTTGAGGCTGGATAGCGCTTGGATCGGTCACCAACATGTCTAACAGTTGTTATAGGCGGCAGGGCTACTGTGCGGAGAGCAGAGGGTAGTGCAGCAAGTATATACTTTCTCTACCCCCTTCACCACTCCGCACCGACCAGCACGGTGAAGTATTGGTCAAATATTTGGCCTAACCTGCACAGCTTGGGTAGTCCCCTCATCCAGCAGTGGAGTGACACAATGCTTGTTCGGCACACATCATCATCATCCGTGGCAATTTTCTGAAGGAATTAATGCACCTAAATACGCGGCTTGTTGCTAACGCCACCAACACCGCAGCGTCACTCACGCGCAGGCATCGCGAGTCGCCGCTATTTGGTGGAAAGTGCTGCGGAGTTGTCATGGGCAAGTGTCGCACTGTGAATGGCAATTCATGACATTTTCCTTCCTGTGCCCACTTTGTGTTCCAGCTTGAGCATGGACGTGGATCAGTCCGAAGGTAACGAACCCTCCCCGGGGTTGCAGCCGTCACTCTGTTGGGGCGTCACCCCATTGGCTGGTCGCGGGGCCTTCGATGGCGCCGGTCCACGCCTCCGAGCACGGCCTGCGACTTCGATCCTTAATATTTTCACAAACGAGGCGCTATCAACCTGGCCACGAGACTTATTGGAATGCCAGCCGTGAGCTGGGATACCTGAACTGGTCGTAGGGCAGCCCCCCCCCCCCTCCCTTTTCACCAATCCGTAATCTTACCCCTTGCAATGCAAGGAAGATGTGCGTACGTATGCAATGTTGAACTTCTTTCGCACCGTACGTAGCCAACCGTGCTAATCGGAGCTGCGAGGGAGGGACAGCAAAAACTAAACACAAAAAGCAGTTCTAGAGGAATAGAGTTTTCAATCTAGACGATGATTTAAAGGTGCATCGCTCCAGTGGCTTCCTAGTACCGGAAGGAGGAGTGTTCCAGACGGCCGCTGAAGCGCACCCGAAAGCGCGCGACGCGGCGACCGTCTTCGCGTCTGCGTTTGCCTCTGCGGAATAAAACGGTCGGCCGTGGTTGTGAAATTCTCTCTCGGCCCATCTTCCTCGTCCGGTCTGCAGACAAGCCCGGCACGCATGAGGCGATGCCCCAGATCAGCACCGTGTTCCAGTTCAGCCAGGGCAAGAGGACCATCGACATCTACTGGCTCTTCGACGACGGCGGTACGTCTCTTTGTCCGCGCACGTGTAACGGCGCGCGTGTGAAAGGGTGTTTCTGCGTAGCGTTGGACAGCAACGACGTCCCTCGTTGCGTTTTTTTTTCTTTTACCACGCTCGTTTGGAGACCAGGGAAGCCTCACGGAATCTCGCGACTCACGTAGGAGGGTCCTGCCGAGTGTTTTACTGTCAGGGCCGACGGTTGCTGTTGTGGATTTTCATGCTTGCAAACTTGAACCGGCGGGAAAGGGGGTATTTACAATTCTGTCAGTTTAATTTAGTTTTCCATATTTGTTAATCTATACAATAGTCATACGGTTTGGACTTGTGAAGGTATTAATGCTCGTGTCTACGTGTTATTACATCGCGTGGATTGTGAGCGGTGGTGGCGGCTAGGAGAGGCCTTCATCCAGCTGTGGATTGACCATGGCTGATTGTGATGACGTCGATGACATTTAGGTTTCCCATTTTGAAATGCGTTCCTGCCGCCTTGTGAAACGTTCACGTCGGCTGCCGCCGCCTCTCGCGTTGCCCTCCCACAGGCATGACGCTGCTCATCCCCTACCTGCTGAGCAAGAAGAACCGATGGGGCGAGTGCAAGATGCGCGTCTTCATGGCAGGGAAGCTGGACCGGCTGGAGGAGGACAAGCAGAAGTAAGGCTCCTCCACCCGCGCTGAGACACTCACGGCTCACCCCCCGAAGGGCCACGAGTTCAATTCATACGGTGCTCGGTTCAAACGCCGCCGCATACCTTGCATCGCATCCCAACCCGACGGTTTGATGCCCTGCTGTAGCTTGAGCCTAGGGCCGCGCCGTTATCTTTTACCGCCGAGTACAGAGCACGAGTGAAATGTGTTGGCGGGAGTGAGTGACCGAGCGATGACGCGCTTCCACCCTCTCTCCATGTCCCCAGCATGTCGAGGCTCATCGCCCGCTTCCGCCTCAACGTGGACGACGTCATCATCCTCACGGACGTCAACAAGAAGCCGCGCGCCGACAAGTGAGAGACGCGTCCCGCCATGTGTCAGCGTGCTTCCAGCCCAAGGCTGTAATTATAATATATATTGGGGTGGGGGGGGGGACACATCCCCCCCCCAACCCCAATATTCAAATATGCTCAAAATGTCCCCCCCCCCCCAATATATTGCTATAAAATAGATTTCTGTTTATATGATTGTGGTTATGGTTGTACTTTATTAATCCCTAATCTCTGCTATTACATACAATGAAACAGGAAATGGTAAAAAAGAAAAAAAACATAGAAATGTAAAACAATACACTATAAGTAAAACATAATTCAAAAGTCCATCCTATGTGTTCATGATTTTTTAAATATTTTAGGCAGGAAATTCGCTTTCAAATTTAGATTTTTTTCTGGAGGGGGGGGACCCCCAGACCCCCTGGAAGATTTGGTCCCCCCTCAATGTTGACTCCATGGCTACGGCCTTGTTCCAGCCAATCATCGAGCGTCCCTACGCTACCTGCTGCTTGAAACCGGAGCGCCCGGAGAAAACCCCTCGCATGCGACGAGTTGACATTGTTTGTGGTGTAGTCGGAATAACCGTCACGATAACTCTTGTACCCTCCCCAACTGCTCCGGCGGTCCGCAAGGATGAAGTACTTTGAGGACCTCATCATGCCGTACCGGCTCAACGACGGATTCAAAGACCCCGCCGAGGTGGAGCAGCTGCGCAAGGATTGCCCCTGGAAGATTTCCGACCACGAGATTCTCACCTTGCGCGATAAGGTCAGCGGCAACGTTCGCAAAACACACATTCGGCCGAAAGTCCTGACCATTTTTTAAAAAGCGGGGAGGAAGCGGGGCAGGGGGGTGGGGAGGGTGTTTGATTAGATTGTGAAAGTTACCGTTTGAGTTCCCTCGTGTGTGTAAATGGGCGCAGGTTAGCCGCGTTATTGCATTTTGGGTGGGAATTTCTTCGGACGTCCTCTGCGGAGATGACGCAATGCAATCAGCTCATGTGCAGGGGCCAGATGGATAGTTGCATTGCACGACAGAGATGGTGATAGCTTGGGGAGGGTGGCTCCATCCACCAGTTGATGGATCATGTCTGACTATGGAGGAATTAGCTGAATCTATTTGTATGCATCCTTTATTTAATCGGGATACGTAATAAACCATTAAGATGGATATAACATCATTGCCCCTTTCGCAATGTGAATTTCATTCAAACAAATAGCAAGTAGAGGAAATTGCAAAAAAGGTATGCAGGATGCGATCAAATGTGAACAGTCGAGAAACATTCACAACAAACATGGTCAATCAAGACACTTTGACGTCAGTTGCCCCGTTCCGTCAATCGCTCCCCCAACTCGGCTGTGGTCGGGACCGGATTTAGATGCCGTCGGGAGGCCACGCGGTGCCAGCATCAGGGGGCACCGCGTGGGCCCTAGGCGGCGTCTCCTAGTGGCCGGCGGCCGCGCCCCAATCTCACGCGTTCTCTCGGTCCCCCTCTTCCAGACCAACCGGCAGCTGAAGCTGAACGAGCTCATGCACGAGCACTCCAAGGACGCCGCCCTCATCGTCGTGTACGTACACCCCCGATCGCTCGCACGCTCCCGGGCGCCCCGACGTCTCGCGATAGCGTACGGCGCGGCCGTTGTAGGCGTCTGTTATTGTTTGAAGCTGGGTTGTGTGATTGTTAAGCAATCGATCACTCAACTGATTAATTATCGCTTCCATTACGAAGCCGGATAGCGCGAACATAGTTGGAGAAAAGGCACATTTCTCGCCTCCGCTCCCACGTGGGTGCCGCTGGACGGGAGGTGGTGGGCAGGGCTTTGAGATGTCATCGGCATCAACGGGCCACGTTATGTTGGGCATGGTTTTTAGGGGGTTTCCCAACTTGGTGAAGAAGGATGTTTGAAATGTTTAGTCGATGAACAGGCCCAATCGTCCCCAGCACAGCTGGCAGTTCACAGCGGCCCTGCAACTCCTGCAGTGCAAACAATTACCAATCAGGGCACCTGAGCTTCAGCGAAATCTGGGTGCAATGAGTATTGTATTATACGCAGGTGATCTCGTCGTGGCACTGACCAAATAACGGAGGATGCACCCGATCTCCACTGAGATCGTGGAAGCCAAGCCGGAATGAGCCTGGACAGTGCTTGGATGGGCGACCACCACCGTGCGTAAAGCAGGTGCTGTGGGCTGCTGCTGCGGCTGCTGCAGGGCCTCGTTGTCAGCAGAAGGCAGTTGCAGCAGAGTCCAACGTTGTAGTGTACTTCTGTGCTCCCTCATCCACACTCGCCGCCATCACCAACACGCGATGACCCGTGGGGTGAAGCGTGGTCAAATCACCCCCACGATCCACGTGGCGTGGGAGCGGTGGGGGGGGGGGGCAGGGAGAGGTTCCCCATCGCGTGTGCTTTACGCGTACGCGCTCCGCAGTCTGTAGCGAGCGGCTATGTACGATCCGTGCCGTCGCTGTAGCTGAACACGCGTGCGTTTCCGCGTGTGCCCCGCGTTGGTTTGTGCCGTGCAGGAGCCTGCCCGTGATCCAGAAGGGACGATGCCCGTCGGCAATGGGCATGGCCTGGCTGGAGGTGCTCAGCCGTGACCTGCCCCCAGTGCTCATCATGAGGGGCAACCACACCAACGTGCTCACCATCTACAGCCAGTGATCCTCCCCCGCTCGCTCGCTCGCTCGCTCACACGCACGTGCTTATACACGTGTGTAGGCTACATTTGCATGCACATGCGAATGTACGGCCGCGCACGCTCTTGTAGACGCATCACCAGTGGCGGCGCTAGGCACTCGGCAAAAGCTTAGGGACAAAGCAGCTCAAGGGGCCTTGGATTCATGATAAAACATTGGGGGTATGCACGAAATAGCATCTTAAATTCTAATCAACCTAACGAGCTAATTAACATAAACCAGCTCGTTAATCTCTCATCTCTATCTTGTCTGCGTATCTCTTCTCGTATCTCGGTACATCTCTAAGTTGTGTCTATACCTCTTCTAGTCGCTGCGCATTTTACACGTCCCCCCCCCCCCCCGCACCACTGAAGGCTCCTGCGCAAGCATCGGCACACGTAATTGTATACACGTAGTGCGCATACACCGCGTGTGCACTTCGGATATGCAGGCGCACGCTTTCCCCGCACCTCCAATTAGCACGGGTGGCTACGACGTACGGTGCGCGAAAGAAGTTCAACGTACGTACACTTTGAAGTACGCTGGCCAGTTACGTTCAGGACCACCAATAACACAGCGGTAGCGAGGCTTCGTTTTAAATATATACAAATACACCTTTGGCAATATTTGCTGGCCAATGATGACAACCAAAAGTGCCGAATTAGTCAACGAGAACGCGACGGAATTGTGTTCCATTTGTTTAAATGAAGCTGGGCTCCCACTAGATCACCGAGTCCCAATTGATATCATGCAACGAGCTAATCAAATGAACGAGCGCCTGTAATCCTACTTATATAATATAGTTATAATAAATTGCGATGTTGAAATGTATAACCTGGGTAATCTGCACACAGTTGTGTTGCCTGTGAAGGCTGTACAATTATCACTTTTATTTTCGCATTGTGCACTTATAAACAGATGTAAACTCCGGAGAGACATGTAAACACCGATGAAGCTTGGCATTTGGTGGTCATTTTTTTGAACAAGCGATTACCTGTAATTAGGCAACTGCATTTATAAAATGTGAATGAAATGTTAAGGTTTCCAGCTCTTTATTGCCAGTGCGGATTTGCAGAGCAGTTGGCCTTTAACATCAATGTGAGGAAGAGTACGACATGTGTGAACTGTGTCATCCCAAGTGGCCCATTCACTTAGGAACTACAGTAGAACTCCCCTTATCCGACTCCCATTATCCGTGGAACCTACATGGTCCGCAAAACCTCCAATGATGCGCGCACATATTCTCACTATTATCTGCGTTTGCAAGTGTTTCTTTCCCATCCTAGGGTTGCGGCACGGCTTCCTGTTGAGAGATAATTTGCTCAATGTATCCTGTTTGCGATTAGCTGCAATTTTTCACGGATGCCGGGGATTAAATTCGCAAAATAAAATCGCGGATAATGGGATACACGATGTTCATCCTCCTCCCCCCCCCCCCGCCAAATCAACGTGGATAAGAGTTCTACTGTGGAGAAAGAGTTATTTGCACGTAAAATGTATGTCCGGATGAAGTGACAAATGTAACATTTGGATTGCGGGCGAAAGGTCTCGAGGGATTGCCGGGTCGTCACAGCGCTGTGCCGTGTGTCTAGTTTGCAGCCGGCAGTTTGATTCCTACAGCCGGCAGTTTGGTCAGTTTGCAGTCGGCAGTTTGATTCCTACAGCCGGCAGTTTGGTCAGTTTGCAATCGGCAGTTTGATTCTTGCAGCCGGCACTTTGATCAGTTTGCAGTCGGCAGTTTGATTCTTGCAGCCGGCAGTTTGATTAGTTTGCAGTCGGCAGTTTGATTCCTGCAGCCGGCAGTTTGATCAGTTTGCAGTCGGCAGTTTGATTCTTGCAGCCGGCAGTTTGATCAGTTTGCAATCGGCAGTTTGATTCTTGCAGCCGGCAGTTTGATTAGTTTGCAGTCGGCAGTTTGATTCCTGCAACAGGCAGTTTTATCAGTTTGCAGTCGGCAGTTTGATTCCTACAGCCGGCAGTTTGGTCAGTTTGCAGTCGGCAGTTTGATTCCTACAGCCGGCATTTTTATCAGTTTGCAGTCGGCAGTTTGATTCTTGCAGCCGGCACTTTGATCAGTTTGCAGTCGGCAGTTTGATTCCTGCAGCCTACCAAAGGGTCGCTGTTCAACGTCACCAAAGCGTGCCACCGGATGCAAAGTTGACATTAAAAGATTTATAACAGTAACGCTTGAAAGCTGGACTATTGAATTATGGTACTGTTGTTAATAAATATATAAAATACACATTGTATTGTTATCCATAATAACCCCCCCCCCCCTTGTTACAATATATAATTTACGTTGATGTTCAGACGATTACAAATGTTTCAAATGTTTGACCGCATACTTCGCCAGTAGGATGTATACACGAGACGCGACTTTTTCTCTGGATTCCAGTTGATCATTGCCCCATGTAAAGGTCGTAACTGCACAGCGATCTCTGCTCACCTTACATGACGATTATATCGAATTTCCATCACCGCCTAGCATGGAAGAGGCCCTCTTCCATGCTAGTGCTCGCTCTAGGGGGAGGGCCACTCTCTCACCAGCAGTGGTGTGAGCAAGCAATTGCCACCGTGTGGCAGGGTAAGCCACTTTCGTGCACTCACCCCAACACACTGTGTGCATTATCGCACAGGAAGCTTTGTTCTGTGGTCAAGTAAAAAAAAGATGAACTCTCGTGTATTTTGCGTGAAGACTGCAGCATTCGTAATCCTATGACAACGACGGGGGTCACAAAATAGTTTTGCATTTGTAGACAACAACGAAACCAACTTTGAGGGCATTTCCATCGTTGAAACTCTGCGCTAAGACTTTGTGTGAAGACGACTGAAGCTTGTAGACTTCCCTTCGCGTTTCCTTTCCTCCTTCACCAAACGGCGGTGTCCCTTGACCCATCAGCTCGCCACTCAAATGGAAACGGGTTAATTCTGTTGCAGCAAGTCTCAATGAGCACACATTAAACAAGCGCACGCACTTTAAATGCTCTTTGATGCCAGTGTGCGGGCATACCACCACAGTGTTAGCGATGGCCCCTGTTGTCTGCATTGGAGATTTTCACGTTGTATTTTCTACCTCTCTCAAGCAGCTGTACCTCGTTTTCTTCGTGATCATTAAAGTTATCCAAATCGTGTTTTGTTTAAGTCGAGTCGAAGTTAAGTCAAACGGTCAATTAGTGGACACTTCCCAAACATCGCCGCATCACCTCCCCTGGCTTTGGTGTTCCTCCTCGATTCCTCCACGAAGACGCTGGCGGTGGAACCATTGACCACGATCGGAAACGTCAAGATGCCGATCCGCACATCTCCTTCACGAGCATGAAAATTAAAGAGACAAGTCACGCTGCGACTGTGACCATGCAATCCATGCTATGGGCCGTAGAGTAAACCACTGTGGTCTGTGCCCCTTCAATGGAGGAGGAACAGCAACATTACACAAACTCTCTCCTGAAGAATCGCACTTGTGGTCAGCAGACATCGACAATGGCATTTAGCTCCCGGACATTGTGTCGTCGCACACAAGAATACAATGGCCGCTGTGGTTGCCACGCTGTCTGGAATTGCGCTCAACGGTGGGACATTCCCTAAAGTCGATTCCTCAGGGATCCCTCTCGCTCTATTGTCCACATCACGCTGGCTGCATTGGGTGAGGCACCATCACACACCAGACCTGGCAGCCAATCAGCAGCTGGGGGAGGGCGCAGGTGGAGTCGGAGCCACGCGGCTCATCCCAGCCCTGCCCCACAGACAAGTCTACCCAAAGTTACTCCTCCCCTCCTTTCTCACACTCCGATGAGCATGGTTGGCTCCGTACGGTGCGAAAGAAGTTTAACATACATACACTCGCGCTAATGTCTGTGTGTGTGTCTCTGGGTCCACATCCTACAAAAGGCACGGCATTATAATACGAAGTCAGAGATGGCTTGGCACGACTTTCAAAATAATAATGAACACGTTGAAGAAGCCGAAACAAATGAATTTCAGCCGAGTTTCTGATTTCGAAGCAATATCTGGCCGAACCCCCCAACTCTTAACGCTTGAATTTAAAACAAAACGCACAAACATAAATCCAAATGCAAAGTTAAAAATATTGAAGTGCTGAGTATACTGGCAGCAGTAACAATAACGAGGTACGCCATTTTCCTTGTGCAGTGTTTAGAAACAACAGCTGAGTGGATCATTTGAGCCTGGTCACCAGTTCTAATTAATGCCTTCCAAATCAGTTCTCATCTTATCTTGACGGATTTTTATGAAGCGCCTTGACTAAGGCGTTTTACAGTGAATTTAGAACGGTACATATGAATGTAATGGTGGAGATGGGGTGAATAAAGTAGGTGAAAGGAAGCAATGGGCAACTCTGTGATGCATAAATTCGGTGGAAAATTGATGACAGTAGATGATGAATGGATTGAACGAATGGGGAATGAGTAATGAGAATATGAAGAGGTGGTGGTTATGAGGGAAGATTAAGGGGTCGTGGGGTGAGCTAGGGAAAATAAGTGAGTTTTGGGTGAAGAGCGGAAACTAGTGAGCGAAGGTGACCGCTTAATTTGGAGGGGGAAGTTTGTTCCAGTGAAGGGGGGCACGGCGAGAGAGAGAGATCGAAAGCTTAGTTTGAGCAGAAGGAGGGCGAGGAGGAACAGAGACACAGCAATGATTGAGAATGTACAGGGCGAGAAGGCGACACGTAGAAACATACAAGAGTGGCAAGATATGGTGGGGCAAGATCCTGTAGGGATTTGTAGACCAGGGTGAGGAATCTGAACAGTGCCAAAGTGGCGCTGTAGCTTTTTTGATGCCCTTAGGATTTTTTTTCTGGCAGATGTCAAGATTTTTATAAATTTGTCGAAGTTTTTAGGATTTGGCTCCAGGTTCTTCAATTGGCCTACGATTTATTTCTCCTAACCTGGCTTCACTTGACCTTCCGAGAGTTCCAGCGCGGTGTCGTGATTTCCGGTCTGTCTCGGCCTCGCTGCGCGCTGCGTTGCGCCACTATCCAAGTAGTTAACCTCGCATTCAATAAACCTTCAGAGCCAAGGTGAACATCTGACTCCAACGTATTTAATGAATGAGCATGAATGAACACCAATGAGCTTCGATGAGCATCAATGAGTTTCAAAGAGTTTCAAAGAGTTTCAATGACTTTCAAAAAGGTAAAACTTATTGAAAAACAACACACAATACAGCATCTATGAATACTTGCAATATCAATACAATGAATGAACATTGCAGCATCATAACATTGTTTGAGATAACATGAATCTCAACAATAGGTCCTGGAATAGCACTGAATAGCTATACAAGAGAATAAGCTGTGTTAAATAAGTTCGCTTTATGTAATCACCATACTGCAGCCTAAATGTACAGTGCTGCATATAACACTGAACTGTGGATGAGATACTTCTTCATCCTTGCTCTCAAGAACACAACAAAGTTCCATGGGCACAAGTCTGGCGTGACCTATCCAACTACAAATAACATTCACAATAATGCAAGTGAAAGGCTTCGTTGTTAACTTGGCCCCATATTCATCATAACAATTTAACAGCATTATAAAGGCATTTACGGCATTATAACAGTAATCCCAACATTAGAACAGCATTCCCAGTATTATAAGGACATAAACGAATTTACAGACAATGCTTTTTAAAGCCCCGCAATGAACATATGCACCCGTCTTCACTGAGACGCTATTTGTGCCTCCATATTGTACTCTGAGTAATGGCTGATACCCCCTACTGGCCTCGTGGCTTAAAGACCTTTAACCCGGAACTTCCTGGCCACGTGACCAAACTCAGCATCCTCATATCAGGAAGTTCCTGTATAAACACCCCCCCCCCCCCCCCCCCCCATATCTGCCGTGGTACAGAACACGGTCCATGTTGTCGATAATTGTCCGCGAAGCAATGAGCGGCAGCCAGCCGTCCGGTCTTGTCCTTTGACATGAAGCGTAAGTCTGGCCCATCGGGCCCGAGTGGAACGTGCCCGGCTGTTTTGGGTCGGGCCTGAGTGTAACGTTTCTCGTGCCCACGGCCACGCCTGGAGTTGCTTTGCGGCGTCATCATTGTTTGAGTAGCCCCGTGTTTTTTTTTTTGGTGTGTGTGGTCAGGAAGCTATACGTTGACGTCCTGAGAGTCCCTCGGTGTTCACTCGGTCCAATCGAAGACCTCGTCCAATCTGTTTCTGGCCCTTGATTAAAAGGGCCCTTCGAGCTGCTTCGATATTTATCTCTACGGGCTGGCTCAGATCTGGATTCGAATTAACGACGTCCATTTCGTCCAGATGTTGGTGCTCGCTGTGCTAAAGGTAACGCGAAGGCACGCGAGGCCGTGACGAGAAGGGGCTGCCGTCTCCCGCCCGACTTATGCCCCTTGGGTCAATCCACTGTTTAGACGGGAGGCCTCCCCACGCGATGTTTGTGATCGACGCATACTTCACTCTGATCAGTGTGCGTCGGTAACGTGAGGGTGGGACGTTATCCGTGGACCGGTTAAGATATCACCGCGCCGACGTTTAGTCGTGGCTGGGAACCGTAACTCATTTGGGCCAGGTTCACGAGCTCACCTGCGCATTCATTCGCCGATGCACCACCACCACCACCACCGCTCGTTGGAAAGATTCCCTCCTGAGCGACGACGAGATGAGGGTGAGACCACCGTCACCAGAGAAGACGTCTCTTTTACTTGACCCCCCCATCAACCAACGGAAGCTTCCCGAGCGATGTTGCCAGTAACCACCCCCCCCCCACCGGCCCCTCGGCAGGTTGGGGACGGTGGCAGTACTCTTTGGTTCTATTGGGTAAAGTCACGTAGGTGAAAATAAAATAAAAAAAAATCACGACGTTTCGGCCAATAGAACCAAAGAGTATGGATCCTAGCAGTCACGAAAGCTTTAAATCTAGACGGTGGCAGTACCACGAACTCACCAGAAGGGGGCGCAGCTACTCCGTGGACCGCGTGGTGCCTGGGGCCACCTCTCCACTGTAGCTGGGAGACCCGGCTGAGATGCTCAAGACTCGATTGAACGATCGACCCCGCGTCTCCCACCCACAAACGCCGTGCTCCAACGCCTGTAGCGTACGCAGCAGTAGCACGTGGACAGTCGACTCAGTACTGGGTCAGCTGTAAGCAGTTGCAGCTCAGTTCAGTTAACATCAGTGTGCTTCGCTAATCTTCACAGGAGGGAGTGGGGTGGGGTGGGTGGTTGGGTGAAAGGGGGGCACTTTCGCCGATAAGACACCAGCGGGGGGCCGCCACACATTTATAAACTATTGTTGGGTTTCACAGCACGATGGGGGAGTTTCCGCTTGTGCATTGTCCGGTGGTGGGGGGTGGGTGGGTGGCGCACAAGTGCTGCACTCAAAGGCCACCAGGGGGCGCTAGTGGCCCGCTCGCCCTGCAATGAAGAAGCATTAGGGGCATGCCCGTAGGGGTGCGTTTGTCAGTCGGGTAAGTCCATAAATGACGTCACACACCTGCGGGGGGGAGGGGGTGGGGGTCAGACATTTGTGACGATGTGTGACTAGGGGGGGGGGGGGGGGTGAGAAATGTGACGTCACATCACAATGCGCAACTTTAAATAAATTATAGACAACACGTTCTACTTAATTAAATATACTTTGTAATAAATGTTTTCTCCTACAACATCAGAGTGCAGCGCCACATTCAATACCCACTACAGTGACAATAGTTTAAAGCGATTTGAAGCATGTTTTATTTTTGGGGGGAAGGGGGGGCAGGGCTTTGTGACGTCATATTTGAGGGGGGGGTCTGACTCTTTGTGACGCCGTGTGACGAAGTGGGGGGGGGGTCAAAAATCGTCGAAAATCGCGTGACGTCATTTATGGACGCCCCCTAAAGGTTTTTTTTTAGGGGGTTAGAATTGGCAAAATTAACCCGATGATGCTGGATGTAATTTACCAACGAAATGTCACGGCACTCAAATGGAAAATGTTGTGTATTTACTCTCCATCACACCAGTGGGCACAAGTAGTAACTCATCGCCTGGTAGACTGTCCACGTAACCCCACCGCGTGCTCCCTCCCTCCCAAGCACCCCCCCCCCTCGCCTCAAGCGTGCCCCCCCCCTCTCCCACA